GTATGCTTCTACAGTTTCCAAAATTTATCAATTCCGAGGATACGAAATTTTACTGCTCTGGATACAAAAGGAATGCGAAAAACACTCTGAGTAATTTTACAAAAAGAAAGCAAAAAATTTCAATCAAAATCCATAAATTTAATAACATTTTCAGAAATTTCTTCGTACAGTGGTTAGGTAAATATCCGAAGTGGATACGAAAAATGAATTTGCGACTTCAAAGTTGATGCAAAATATTTTTACTGCACCATTTTTATAAATTTATACGTTCTACGGATACACAAAATTACCCCCGATTTTTTACCGTGCGCCGTCCAAAATTTTTTGGGCATTGCAGTTTTGTGTCGAACAAAGCCGCTTTGCAGCTGGCATCTCTTTCACTCACAAGAGATAATTTTACAGATTTTTACATTTTATTCGCGCGAAAGTTCAAAAGTAATCACTATAAACAGCGTATCCTTTGGTAGTAAATTTGGTGGGTGTACGGGTGGGAATGTTTACTTTGTCTCGTATTTTTAAATAGTACAAACTCTGCAAATGTGTTGTGTTCTGCTTGGTGTAGCAAGAGGTGCAGGTTTCGAGTCGGTGGCTCTGCCAAGATAACACGTTGCTGTTACAGGTGTCGGGGAGCCGCGCCCTGACCTGCGAAGTCTGACCGACTGCTACGTGCGCCTGGTGCGGCTCATCAAAGAAGAGGCCGCCGAAGAGGAGGAACAAACCTCACATCATGCTGAATACCACACTTATTATTGGAGTGCCTCAGAACAGCAGGATCACGTGGGGAGTGCGGAGGATGCAGCCGCACAGAACACAGGACGAAGTTATGTCGAGGATGACGCCGCGGACTGGCTTAAGAAGTACCGCGGGCGCAAAAAGGCCCACGGTGGCGATCACACTTATAGTCGTAAACGGGTCTCTGGGCAGCCGTACCATTGCCAACTTTGCCTCAAGAAGTACCTACGAAGGACAGACCTCAAGCGGCACGGCTGGTCACACACAAGACCGTTCTTTTGTGATATATGCAAAAAGAGATTCACGCGAAAGGCTGTTCTGAAAAGACACGTGGCGTGCCTCCACTTTTAGTTTTTCTTTTTCATTAAACATAAAAATCTACATTTTAATATTTTACAACTTCACTTGACTGTACAGCTGTAGATCTTTTGTTGCTTTGTTCGATGATTTTTTTTACCAGAGCCTTATATTTACGTTGTTTTGTGCGGGTTCAACCTGTCCCTCAGATTATTTTTGGATTATTTTTGTTTTCATTTTAAAAATAAACTGCCTTGTACTGTACCTTCCCCTCATTTTGATGAAGACGAACAAGTTTGCCTGGCAGAGGGCGTTGCCTGCTGTGGGTGATAACGCACACGAGGACGGAAGTCTTGCGGCCGCGCCTCGCCGCCACCCCCTCGAGGACGGCACACATGCGTTCTGCGCGCAGATTGTATCAGAGACGCACTTTGCAGGGCCATGTTCTCTATTTGCACGCCAGTGAGGAGGGGTTGCGGGGGAGCTGCGTGCGTGTACGCCCGTTCTTGCAAGCTGAATAGAGAAACTTACATAAATCTGAAAACCGGCCAGGCCGTAAGTGCACCGCATCGCCTTTGTCTACGCAGGACGAGTTTTTAATGTACCAGGTGTTAGCCTCACAACATAGGAGCTGCTACCGTTATCAGCAGACACCAGAACAAAGTTTTTTCCTCTCGGTTTTCCTGAAGCGGATCAACGCAACCTGTCTGGCGGTGCCTCCGTCACGTGACGTGACCCGCTTTCACTTTTGTCTTCTTTGAGTTTGCAGTTTCGAGCAGACGAGTTCATCATTGCCGGCCTCCTGCGTCGTCGTTTCTCTCCCGTTTTGTTTTGACGGGATTAATCGTGGCGATGATGACCCGCATCCCGCGCGGTCCATATTTCACATCGCCGAACAAAAGACGCTCTTCCGCCCGGCCTCCGCTCCTGCTTCCGTCTGAAGGGGAGTGAAGTTGAATCAATCAAATCGCAATTTTTTTTCCCTCTCTTCCCTCTGGATTTTTTTTCCCTCACCGCCCTCTCCGAGAGTGGCGTGTATCACTTTTTTCGTCCTCTTCTGCCGCAGGGCCCTGGCGGTGTGTCGCGGGCCGAGGCCGAGCCGCTTGGCGGAGACGTGCGCCGCGCCGCACTCCCGGTGATCTTCATCATTGCGTTGCCCATCACCCAGTCCATTTCTTATGGGGTACACAGTCAATTTTGGCTCAAAGTTGTGACATTTAGTGATTGTTTTTCAAATGTCTGTATATTATTTACCTCATGTCGATTCTGCTTTGCTTATCAGGTACTTTGGCGCGGCGGGGCCGTATGAAATGTGCAGCACTCGTCGAGGACGGCGTCGGGACGTTGAGGGAAGGACGACGTCGTGACCAAGAGGCGAGCAAATAGGACGTTGTCGGGACGGAGAGGACGGCGTCGTGACGAGGGAGACGGCGCCTTGACGGCGTGACGGGGAGGACGGTGTCGGGACGGAGTATGTTGCTGCGCTGCCCCCGCCGCAACAAGCGATGTGCTGCGCTGCGCGGCGCCCACCCCAGCGGTGATGGAGGGGCCCGGCCCGTGGGCCCAGCGCGCCCGGCCCGAGGCTCCTCCTCCCTCAGTCTGCCGGCGCCGTCCGTACCGCTCGCAGCTCGGCGCCCCTCCGCGCTCCGCCCCGGCCCCGCTGGGCCGCGAGGTGACGCTCGCCGCTCGCGAGTAACAAGTGGTCGTCGCGAGTGTGTGGCTCTCATATGGACTGAACTGGATTATACTGCCGCCCGGAGGAGAGTGGTGTGGTGGTGGTGTGTGTGTGTGGGGGCTTGAGTAGACCGTGTCGCTGCACTGCTCGCCGTAGACGTTGTTGGGTTAGTAGAGGGTGGCCTGGCCTGGCTGCGTCGCTCGACACGGGTCTGTGCCGTCGCGCTGCTACTGGCTGCGCAGCCTATTACGTTCTGAAGCAGAAACAAACATTGCATTGGGCGCCCGACGTATCTGTCTGTGGCATGCCATTGCATGCATACAATATGCCAATGGTTTAATGAGCAACATCTTTTGAGACCAGATTGGGTTTTGTTGAGAGCCAGTCAACACAGTGTCATTGAGAAGTAGTCAAAGTAAATTCGATCAAAATTGCGATGGCCCCTCGGATGTGCCTGATTCTTTTCCACACGGTAAAAAAGTTTCTTGTATTTCAAGACTCTGTCTTGGATCTTATGGAGGACACCAATGGTTTCCAAGACTCAGTCTTGAAATAGAAGAAACATTTCTTTCACTGTGCATGTGCACACTTCATTGGGAGAGGGGAGGGGGCAGTAATTCTTCCCAAAAAGAACATAATTTCTGTACGAATCACAAAATTTGCCCAAAGCAAGTGATTTAAACCAAAAACGCGCTCTTGGGACAAAAAAGTCCCGTTACATTGAGTGTGTGGGGCCAATATTAGAATATGGAAGTGCACAACAACTTTTGTGGTCCACATGTGCACTCGTCTTACATGTCGGACTTTACAATGGTATTGTTGAAGTCAAAATTCATTTCATAAATGAAAGTAACGACTTAACTGCGCGCATTTCAGTGTAGCGCCACAGGTACGCACCCAGTCGGGCGAGGCAGACACTGAGTTTGTACTGTAACTTAGTTGATTGTGAGTGAGTGTGAGTAACTAGCGTCGCCGTGTGTGTGTGTTTTCGAGTGACTAGCTTCGAGTTAACTCGCTAAAATGGAATATGCTAATTTTGCCTAGGTATTGTTACAGTTTTTGTGCGCTCCCTTTGTCTCAAATTTGTATGTACCATTGATTTCTAATGGGAAACAATTTGCATTTAACATTGTTCTATACTTGTCGCAAATTTTTCTCCAACAAATAATTCGTACCAAAACGTTTACGTCCTTGCAACAAAATTGTCCGTTCCTATTTGGCGTGCAGGGTTCTAAAGTGTCTGGCCGCGCCCGATGCTTGACTTCCCTCCCCGGGCGGGCTGCCACGGCGGCGGCGGCGGGAGCAGCTCCACCCCGAGCCCTACTGCTCCGCACTCTCCTTCCTTTCCCCGATAACGATGAAACGGATTTCCATCGGTGACGTGGTGGCCCCCGCCTGAGTGACAAAGTGACTGGGCGATGAGCTGACAAGTCTTGCGGAGGCGTTATTATCTGGCGCGCGCACCACCCTGGCGCGACGTTTAGGCGCCCGTCAGCTCCTTCCCAACTCCCCCCCCCCCTCTCTCTCTCTCTCTCTCTCTCTCTCTCTCTCTCTCTCTCACTCTCTCTCACATTCTCTCCTGCGTCGCTGTTCGTGATGCTGCCACCTCCTCCTAGGGGGGCTTGGAATGACACCACAGCCACACCGCTCCTCTCTCCGCGCGTTCGCAGAATTACTCGACGACGGCGACGAATTTGGCGTCGTCGTCGCCTGGGTGGCGCGCGCGGTGGTCGCCATGTGTGAGTAACGCGCGCGCCACCCCTCCCCGCGCCCCTCGGGTCCTCTGGGTTATTTCTGTGTCCCGCCGCGGTGCGCCTCCTGGAGCGAGCGCGCGCGGCCCGCGGCGAGGCCAAGGCTGCTGCTCGTTCGACACGATCGAGTGCGTCCCCCTGCTCTCCCCCTCCTGCTCGGAATCTGTAATGAACGCCGCGGTGATTTCGGTGGAAACGACAACAACACAGCCGCGCCTGGGGTGCTGCTGGGCGACTCTCTGACCGCTCATCATCGCTCTGCTCAACAAGTAGGAGAGCCTGCTCGCGCGCTCGTGTGTGTGTGTGTGTGGGGGCGCCCTTCTCTCTATCTCTGCCCAGTGTCGGGCTGTGGCTGTGCGGTGGGGAGCCGCCACCGCTGTCGCCATAGCGCGCTCAGATTTCCGCGCAAAGCCCTTGCCCCCGCGCTACGCCACGCCATGTAGTCCCCCCAGCTTGAGCCCCGCTCGGTCTCGCCCCCTCCCCTTGTCCGCCGCGGCGTCGCGCTCTCGGCGCCGAACAATGCGCGCCGAGCGCGTGGAAATTCTCGCCGCATCATCACTTAAGCCCCGCCGCGCCGCTGGGGAACATGTTATTATTGATGGTGGAGGCGGGGTGAGTAAAGCTGCTCTGCCACGACGGGGTGCTCCGCGTCCTGTTGACGGCGGCCGTCCCCGCCCGCGCCGCGCGTGTCAACGGCGTCCGTTCTCTTCAACTTTGGCAATCAGACACTCTCTTTCCGCGCAGCCTCGCCAACTCCCGCGTCTCTCCGCCGGGTCCGGGGGTGGAGGTACAGTGGGCGAGGAGGGTGTTGGAGTAGACTCGCTATAACGGCGCTCCGATGAGCCACTCCCCTCGCCTCTCTCCTCCTCCATGGCTTGGCGCTGTTCCAGACCGCTGCCGCCGACCGGGCTCATCCGTCTCTCGGGCCAGATCTGACTCTCTGCTCCCCCTCCAGAAGCAGGCCAGACCTGACTCTACGCTCCCCTCCAGCCCAGCGATGGCCCCTCGCCACCGCACACCCTCTTGACCCGGCGGGCGGCAGGTGGCCGCCGGGAGCTGCTGCTGCTGGGGCTGTTGTGACGAGCGGGCCGATCTGGCTGTGACGGGCGGGCGGCTGTTGTGACGAGCGCGCCGATCTGGCTGTGGCAGGCAGTCGGGTCGACTGTTGGCGCCCTCTGCCGCTATGGGACTGGCATGTCGCCGTCACTCCGTCCAAACTTCATATTCAAATGGACCGGACGACCGGGCCCCGCCTGGGGCCCTCCCCGAGAGGCAAGCGGGCGCCCGCGCCTTCCCGTGGTCAGCTCACCTCTCCCCACCCTGCTAAACTACCTGCACCACCCTCCTCTCATGGGGAGCGCGAAAAAAAAAAGAAGGGCGGAGCTCTCCGCAACGCTCCGCCATGCTCCGCAATGCTCCGGCGCGCCCCCTCCCGGACACGCTCGCGGCCGGCCGCTGCTGCGAAAAGCGTTTCGCGCCGCCGCCAAGATGGATGTGCGCACGGAATTGAAAGTAAAGGGAAGGGCGTTGGTGGCGTGGCTCGGCGCGGCGTGTTAAGGGCCGAGAAGCGACCCCCCCCCTTCTCCCTTTTCGCACCGCTATTCGCACCGCCTCACGTGACTCTGTCACGCGCGCGCGCGCGTGCGGTGTGCGCGGGATATGACGAGATGTGCGCGCGCAAAGTTCAGCCTCCTTGACAAACTCAGCCGTTTCTGCGTACGCTCGCTCTCTCCCTCGCTCTCTCTCTCTCTCCGTCGTCGTGGCGCACCTTTGCCATCTCTCACTCTCTCTCCTCCCCTTCCGTCGGTTTTCTGTGACGCAGCGTGATTGCGGGGGCCGGGGCTGCCTCGCTCAGCTGGCGCGGCGGTGGCGGCCCTGCCCTCGCGAAGGTGCCTCGTTGGCGTTATTCAGGTCGCTGATGTGATGAGCCGCAAGGTGCGGGCGGGAGCGAGCGAGAGAGAGAGAGGAGAGAGAGAGGAGAGAGAGAGAGGTGAGAGAGAGGAGGTGGCGAGCAGGCACCCGCGGGAGGAGTGAGGTCGGCGCCCCCGCCCGCTCGATGTCCGAAAACAACAAATTTCGGCGCCTTAAAACAAATTGAGGGGCACACTCCTCTACGCGCGCTCGAAGAGAATTTGAGCGTCCCCACCCCTACCTCCTCCTTCTTCTCCTCCCCCGCCGTTGGGGGGCCGCTGGTCCAGGCCGGCGGCGCCCCTCGGGGGGCCAGACGGGAATTGATGCTGCCGTCGAGTCCCCCCGCGGAGCTGCCGTGCTGCCGCTGGTGCAGCCTCCCCCCACCCCGACCCGCCCCGCCACGCCCCGCTGCGCCACGTCCGGATACAACCATCCTGAATTTTTCTCCTGAAGTTTTTATTGCGTTGACTCTGCGGGGGCGCTGCTGGTGCGGGTGGGGGGGACCTGCTGGCTGCCGCCGCCGTGGTTTCGCTCCGCTGCTGCTGCTGCTCCAGGGCAGACGGCAAGGGAGGAGAGGGGGCTGTCCTGAAACAGTCATTACCGGTCGCCGCGCCCTTTGGCGGCCCCGCCGGCGGCTCATCCACGTGAGCGCCCCGCCTCGCCTCGCCCCGCGCCGCATCGCTCTGCATCGCCCTGTTTACTCGCTACCGCACCGCTCGGCGTGTTTTATGCGGAAAGTTATGATTGAGTGTCTCTCGCGGCGGAGAGACGTCGCGCGCGCGGGGGGCGGGCGGGCGACAGCGGTCTGGTCTGCGGGGAGAGAGAGGGATGGAGAGACAGCGGACAGTGAAGCCCCCCAGCAGAGCGGAGCAGCCCCCAGACTGATGGATGTTGGAGACAGCAGGGCTGAGCGCCGCCGAGAGACGAAGAAGAGCGGAAAAATAGCGGACAAGATTTTGTGGCGTTGGTCGAAAATGTGCGGCTATCGTCATAGGTTTTCGGTCTCCTTGCTCGTGTGATCGTTGTGATTACTCGCGGAAATTTCAACTTTTGTTTTTGTTTTCGCAGCCGCGGCAGCAGCTGCAGCTGGGTGCCATGGGCGGTGGGGCCCGCGGCCGCCTCCTCGGCCGCCACCTCGGCCCGGCCGCGGCGAGGTGAAGCCCCCCGAGCACCATGCCGCCGTCCCGCCGGCTGGCCGCGTGGCTGGCCGTCTGGCTGGCCGCGCTCTGCTCGCCGTGCCTCGGCCACTTCAACCTGTTCCTCAGCCAGGACGAGGTCACCAGGCTCATGGGTGAGTAGAAGTAGTGGTGGTAGTGCGTCTGCTGCGAGACGAATCGTACTCTCTCTGGTAGCGTTTGCAGAGTGCGTCGACCTCTTGGGACACCTGGGCCGTCTGGGCGAGGGTGGGGCTGTTCTCCATCCATCAGTGTGTGTGTGTGTGTGTGTGTGTGTGTGTGTGTGTGTGAAGGAGAGAGAGAGAGAGTGCGCGTGTGTGTCCGCCTGCGGTCACCCGCTGGGCTCGGCGGCGGCGTGAAGGGGACGCTCAACCGGAAATGAACTTGCGCGTCCCCCTCCCATCTCTCTCTCTCTCTCTCTCTCTCTCTCTCTCTCTCTCTCTCTC